CGGACAAACCCACAAACTGACAGCGCCAGAAGAAGCACCGCGATTTCTACAAGCTCTAGGCATTCGTCCAGTGGCAGGCGCCAAAAGGAGTACGACACACCGATGGGATGTCGCCAACATAACTCCGTTCACCCCTTCGGAGTCGACAGCCCCAGCGGGAAGCAGCGCTATGCACCCACCCGGCTCTTAATGTGGGAAAAGTCTCCCGTCAAACGGAACTCATGGATGTACCGGCTAGTTCTAGTTCTATTTTTGTTCGAACTTATTTATGTTTATGCTATACTGTCATGTGCAATGTCCCCCACCGGTTGCGTACAGCTTTACATACATTTTGTTTTTTAGCTATGCATTTCTGCGCCTACTGCCGCGCCAGGAGTAGGCCACACGGTCAGAGGACTGCTCGCACCAAACACACGATCCGCACGACACCCCGTCCATACAGCTCCTCCGACCTGACACAACCCACAGGACACAGGGGTGACGCATTAATGCGCCAGCTACAGATAGCACATACTTACACGACGAAACACTCCCCCAGACTCCAGGGTTAAGGAGCCTTAATATATATATATAGGCCTTTTAATGCCTCTGGCCGTTAACCAGGGGACCCAGAACCGGGAACCCAGACCCAAGCTCACCTCAGCCTGACACTAACAGAGCCTGAGCCTGAATAATTGGGAGCTGTACTTAGGAGCTGTGGCCTTTAAACGCATACTTACCCTGAAATGGTCTAACGCTCTTAGACCCTGAGGCAAATCCACTCACTTGTGCACTACCACACCGCTCCCAAGTCGCCACAGGGAACTTTGCCTGTCTTTATCATCTGAGAGCTGTGCAATCACTTGTTTGCCATCTTGTAAATTTATCATTTTCTTTTTAGAAACTGAGTGACACATATAATGCCATTGTTAATCCTAGCAACCCTACTTAAAGTACCCTCAGGCGATTACAATATAATGTTGGCTACTCACACCACCAAACAGTATAATCCTGTTTTGTCATACTTAACCTATACCAAATGTATACTGTATATGTAACCTTATGGCTTGATTCTTGTTTAAAAACTAAACAAAATATGTGCAGTACTATCGTATGCCACAAAATGCCAATCCTCATGAAATGACTGTTTTTATTGAGTGGTACGAGACGTCTGTCTGTTTAACTTCTGCACACAAAAATAAAGAATTTAAAAAACAAAAAACATAAGACAAAGTAATAGGAAAAATACACAAGACATAGTAGTCTATACTTTGTCTTATGTTTTAAAGAGGAATAGATCAGAAATGAAGAAAAGATTCTCGAAGAGGAAGAGAAAAGGAAACAATTTCAGCACCCAATAATATATGCATGTTCAGGTGAGTGCATCCTCTTAGTTCCATGTATATATATTTGGGAATCCAGGCAAACTCCCTGGTTTTGCACCGATCCCTGTCACAGGTGCCTCTTTCCAGGAGCCTATTTAACCTTGACCTGCAGAGAGTCCCAGGAGGAAGGATTTCCAAAGTAATTGGATTAATAATATAAGAGCAGGCATTACGTTGCTAGAGTAGGACCTGCCAAGAATGGGGTACATTGACGTTGTGGCAGGCTAATGCTCTTGACACTGTTGATCATCAACAGCTTTTGCTCATCCTCTGTAATCTCGGTCTACGAGATGTTGCTCTCTCCTGATGCTCATTTAGTGTTTATTCTTCTGCCCCTCCCCCCCCCACACCCCCTCCAGGGGCAGATCCAGAACCAAATCTCGGTAGGGGCACTTGGAGATTATTTACAGGCACAATAACCACTACAGCTCTCTGTAGTGGTTGTGGTTCCAGGAGTGCCGTGGCACCCTCTCAAAGTAAGCAGTCAAACCGTTTGACAACTTACCTGGGGTCTGCCAGGATAGGGCATGAAGCAGGGGATAGAGGCAGTAATGTGTGTGTGAGAGATGCAGTGAGTTTTTGTGAGGAGTGCAGTGTGTGGGTGGGGGGCAGTATGTGTGTGTGTGAGAGAGGGCAGTGGGTGTCAGGGGTGCAGTGTGTGTTTGGAGGGCAGTGTGTGTGTATCTGTGTGGCGGGGGGAGGCACTGTGTGTTTTGGGGAAGGGCAGTGTGTGTGAAAATGTGTAGCTTAAAAGCAAGTATAAAAACATTTTTTTTCTTAAAATAATACTAATACTTTATATCCCCTCTCCCTTCTTACCTTTACTGAGGGAGGGGGAATATATTTTCTACAACCCCTGGTGGTCCTAGTGGTGAGTCCCTGGCAGTCCAAGTGGGGAGTGAACTCTAGCCTGCTGCTCCTGAGGCTAGAGTTCACTCTCGTGAGGTTTGAAGCATTGCCTTGTTAACTGTGTCAACACTCCGTGCTTGCAAGGTGCCCACAGACCAGTGAGGAAGATCTCTGATATCCCTACCGGTCTGTGAAGGCACATAGCAGGGCCGGCGCTTGAATAGCACTGGCCCTGCAGGGGAGAGCATCGGCTCTCAGGGGCTCCTTCTAGTATGTAAGCTCAGTGAGCAGGGCCCTCAAACCCTCTGTTCCTGTGCGTTAAACTTGTCTGGTTACAAATACATATTTGTTAGTCAACCCATTGTAAAGCGCTATAGATTTTGTTGGCGCTATATAAATATAATAATGCAATGTATGATCATATACTGTAACTAAACCCCGAGTATTTTTTGCCTCGGGGAGGTGTCACTAAATAAAACTATTACATTCTCTGAGACTTGAACTTGCTGTTTAGTGAATAAGCAAGTGCGCTGGATATTGTATGTTGTATAAAATATATACAGGTGGACATATATAGTTGCAAAAGCAAAACAAAGTTTTTATGTAATTTTTACAAGATAATTAATTCTAATTCTGAATTAAGCCATGATTAACGTGCATGAATGGTTATATTGTGGGATAATGCATCCTTTCTTGCCCAGTTGTTGCAAAGAGACTTATTCAGAATCCTCTGCAACTGTCGGTATTTGCATTCGGTATTTAACAGTGTTTATTTTTTTTTATTTTTTTTATATTTTGTAAACGCCACTACCATTGAGATATATATTAGTAATTTTTAATTATATACTTCCATACCTTGTGAAAAGGTTTCAGTTAAAATTATTTCATTAACTTTCAAGTGATACTCCAAGTAACATTACCACTGCAGCACAGTTCTGTGTTTATTATGCTGATTAACTTTTGTCAAACTATTGAGAACTTGGATAAAATAAAAAAATATATGGCTCTCTACAGTTCCTGGAGATCACCCTCACCTTAGTTAGTTATATGGATAATGTGGAATTTACACTTCTCCATTGTCAATGCAAATTTCTTTCAGCCTGAACAGCAGTCTTTGGCAGGGGGCCTGAGGACACTTTAAACACCAGGGAGGGAAAGTGTGTGCCTTGATCTAAGCTTCAATGAATGGTTCAATTGCAAGCTGGAAAACTCTGTAAAATAGGTTTAAAGGACCACTATAGTGCCCGGAAAACAAACTCGGTTTCCTGGCTCTATAGGGTCTTTATGTCCCCCCCCCCACCCTCAGGGTCCAACTCCCGCCGGGCTCTAGGGGGAGGAAGGGGTTAATAACTTACCTTTTTTCCAATGCCGGGACTCTCCTCCCTCTTCTGACGTCACCAGTTGAATGCGCATGCGTGGCAAGAGCCACGCATGCACATTCAGCCAGTCCATAGCTATGCATTCTCAAATCTTTCCTATGGACTCTGGCGTCTTCTCACTGTGAAAATCACTGTGAGAAGCGCGGAAGCGCCTCTAGCGGCTGTCAATGAGACAGCCACTAGAGGCTGGATTAACCCATAGGTAAACATAGCAGTTTCTCTGAAACTGCTATGTTGACAGCAGAAAGGGTTAATCCTAGATAAACCAGGCACCCAGACCACTTCATTAAGCTGAAGTGGTCTGGGTGCCTATAGTGGTCCTTTAATAAAGACAGATCCAGCGCTTACCTGGCCACCACCAATATAGAATTTTTAAAAAAGAATGCAACTATAGGTCAGTTAGTAAACATAGGTTGTTATAAGGCTTACAATAATTTTTACTTATAGCATTAGTTAGTTATTCAAAATAAAATTAAAAAGCAAAATAAAATTAACCTTATAGCCCTTTGAGCCACATTTAAACAAACATTATCTAGAGGGCGCTGTGGACCCAGTAAGCACTATATGTCTGACGTTTTCCAGTTTGTGTTCAGCCACTGATGTTTTAAAGAGGACAATTTAGCAATATATTCCTTACACAGCCAGACGGTATCAGTATTGCAGAGGTATGCTACCATTTGGAGAGCGTTCTAGCTTAGTCTCCCATACCTTACAAGCATGGCTAATTGATGTATGTAGTATATGCAAAATCTTTGCAGACCAGATCAAAGGAAGTTCCATATTCCATAGGGAATTCAACAGTTACACTGGGGTTACATTTGTTCTCTGCGTTTTAATGGAGAATGCATTAACACATGTGATTATCACTATGAAAACACCCTCATTGCCAATATGAATAAATGTTTTTCAGTTTTTATTATGAGCTCCATAAGCAATAAAAGAGAAAAATCTTTAAAATGAAAATGTCACTTCTCTGAATACTACACTATTGTGTGAAATATTGACAATTACTTAGAACTTGTGTTTGCCTTTTTTATGTGATGCTTTATTTTCTTCCTTTACTGTATGTTAAAGATTAAATGATATCACAATCGAGTTCTGGAACAGTCAGTGCACACAACGCAAATTAGGACAAAAACAGATATATTGTTTCATTTTCTCCTCTACCACAACCTATGTTTAATGGCAGAAAAGGGCAACATTTTTAATGACTGACAGAGAGCCAAGATGGAATTGCTCTATTCCAAGAGAGATGTGTGGCTTTCGACATTTTAATTATCGGATATCACAAAAACATATTTGCTGGGGCGGAGCTAACGCCCGATCGAGTTGGTCGCATCTCGCAGCAGCTCTGCAAGAACCGCCGGCAAAACGCTGATTTGTGGCAAAAAAGACACGCTTACTGAGCCCCACACAGCTTCAAGAATGCCTTGCACCATGGGCAAAAAAGTATAGATCCGATCCTGGCTCAGGCTCATGAGATATCGGGGCCTTTATGAGCACGGCCATGCGGCCCGACCCGTCTAAGAGACTTCTACTTCACCAGCCGCAGACGAGCCTGCCAACTACCTTACAAAGGTTTAGGATAAGCCTATGACACCTCTGGAGCTAGGAGACTCTGCTCGCTCCACAAAGGCTGACATAAAAGCCTTGGTGAAAGAAATCCAGGCGATTCCACGCTGACATGGCGCTGGTTCGGGAAGAAATCTCCACGATCACAGGCAGTGGTGCGGCGGTCGAAGAAGGCCTTAAGAGCACAGGTATTGCCCAAACCGCCACAGACACAGCCCTGCAAAAGCACTGCACCACCCTGACTGCGCGACTAGCCACTTTGATGCATAGGGCCAAGGCATGGAACGTGAGGATCCAAGGGGTGCCTGAGTCAATCACCAACTCTGAACTACTGCACTACTTCTAGAGGCTCAAAGCCATGCTATTCCTGCCTAAACAAGCAAAGCAGCTGGGGGTGGACTCTTGTTTTCGGTTACCCAGGCCAATAAAGCTCCCCAGGAGGTTCCAAGGGATGTGTTGATCAAATTTGTTCGGGACTCTGATCGGGGCGCACCTAGCATTACACAGAGACATCTCCAGGCACAATCTGATGTTGAGGAGGTCTTTTCAACAGGTCACCCAGATGCTGTGAGAACTCAATAACTTGTAAACAGGGTCAGCGCCGACTGATGGCGGATAAAGCAGGCAAGACGCACCTTCTAACACACACACAGCAGAAATACCGGCCTTTCTTCAGGCTTTGGGCCTACCAGCGGAAGTTTTTCCAGCGGACACTCGTCCAACATGGACTGTCGCAAGCATTAATCCCTTTGTGCCCAGGGGCGCAAGATCAAGACCACCCAACTCGCCCACATAAACCAGCAATCACTGCTGCCCGAGATACCACATGTTCTGCTTGATTCTGTTTTATTTCACAAATGTTCCAGTTTGCCTTTCATTTTTCGCTTGATTTGTCTTTAACACTAACCACTACTTCTCCTCTGGCTCTGTAAGCCGACAGCCAGTCATCATGCCCAGTTATTACCTCCTCTCCCCATTTATCTCTACGTGCCCCTCCTCACCGCCAACGCACGAGAGCTATACTGCATGTATACCAGCCGGCCTAGTTGGAACTACAATTTCCAAGTTTAAATGCCACAAGAATACTAGGCTATTACCAAACCTTATACCACACTTTATATTTCAGCTCCACACACCTTAAAGGATCACTATAGTGTCAAGAAAACAAAGCAGTTTACCTGACACTATAGTGCCCTGAGGGTGCCCCTCCTATGGGGCTGAAGGGGTTAAAACCCCTTCAGCCACTTACCTTAATCCAGCGCCGGGCTCCCTCTCCTCCCCGTCCGATGTCACTGGAGCCAAATGCGCATGCGCGGCCAGTGCCGCGCGCATATTCAAAGTGTCCATAGGAAAGCATTTCTCAATGCTTTCCTATGGACGCTCTGCGCAATGGAGGCAAAATTTGCCTCCAGCTTTGCAGATGCGCCTCTAGTGGCTGTCCGGAAGTCAGCCACTAGAGGCTGGATTAACCCCAAATGTAAACATAGCAGTTTCTCTGAAACTGCTATTTTTGCATCTGAAAGGTTAAAACCTGAGGAACCTAGCACCCTGACCAATTAATTGAGCTGAAGTGGTCTGGGTGACTATAGTGTCCCTTTAAGCACATTTACCCTCCGTCATGATCGTATCAGTTAAAAATGGTGGCGCGAGCGCTATTAGATAGCAAACTCCAGTCCATAGTTTTCCAAAATGTTTGTCTAGATATGAAGAATCTAAGCGTGAAAAAATAAAAAATTAGGGTGTAGACAATGACGTTTTGAGGACTTTTGTTGAAATGTATAACCTATGATGGATAACCTTTCTTCACGCGATGCAATGAGACGTTTATGCTTACCCGCAAAAATGAAGGGAAAAAAAAAAAAAATATTTGCTAACTATGTTGGATGCAAACACAAAAAATCTTGGGATATAACAGATAAATTCCCTTTAATTAAAGGAACAGTTCACTGTAGTGGTTATGGTAACAGGAGTGCCTTTGTTCCACCTATTGTAAGCACACAAACCATCTTTGAACAGTGACTTCTTACCTGGGATCTGGCAGGCATGGCTCAGCTAACGCAGCAACATTGTCCCTTTTGAGTATTCATAAGGGTAGAATTATGAAAAATCTTAGGTTGAAAGAAGCAATTTAGTAGACTGAAAGAACACTAAGCACAACACAACTTTATTTTAATAAAGCAACTTTAGTGTATAGATCATGCCTCAGTCTCACTGCTTAATTCCTTGCTATTTAGAAGATAAATTATTTTGTTTATGCAGCCCTTGCCACATCTTCCCTGGCTGTTAAAGGGAAAGTATAGGCTAGGAATACAAAATTGTATTCCTAACACAATAGTACCCAAGAGTGCCCCCCTCGCTCGTGCCGCCACAGCGCAGAAGAAGTTAAAAACCCTTCTGTCACTTACCTAAATCCAGCGTTTATGACACTTGGTGCTGGGACAGGCTCTGCCTCTGCTCCTCCCCCAACATCAGCCAATGTCAGGGACCCAATGAGCATGCATGGCAAACGCAGCGCTCGCATTAGCACTGCCCAATAGGAAAGCATTGAATCAATGCTTTCCTATGGGGTTTTAGTGAACGCTGGATGTGCTCATGCAGACAATGAGGACGTCCACCGTCAGGCGACCAAAAGTCACCTAACGACTGGGAAGCGCCTTTATTGACTATCTGGTAGACAGCCACTAGAGGTGGAGTTAACCTCGCAAGGTAATTATTGCAGTTTATCAATAAATGGACAGCGGCGCTGCACCCAAACCATTTCAATGAGCAGAAGTGGTCTGGATGCCTATAAATACACAGCTGACCCATTATGGTCAATCAAATATACTCACACAGACTTAGAATTGTTTGTTTTGTATTATGCTTGTTGCTGCATTTAGTAGATTGTTTGTGACCTTCTGAAAAATAAGTAAAAATAATGTAAGGAACTGCTTACATTTGTATCAGTTTGTAAATTTCTCATGTTTATAAAATGTTTTTATTCATTTAAACACATAGGCACTCAACTATGTGTGTATCTCAGAGGGAGTGCCAGTCCTTTAAGTAGGTCATGTTTTACAATGCAAATCCATTTTCACATACAGTAGCCATCATCACAACAGAAGGTTCAATGAGAGGTGAGTTTCATTAATTAAGCATGCAAGAGTCAGCAGCTATGGAAAACAACTGTGCTTTTCATAAAGGCTGTAATTAAAGCAGAAATGTTGTTTGGCATATATTCTCTCTTAATGGGACACTATAGGCACCAAGACCACTTCATCTCAATGAAGTGGTATGGGTGCCATGTGCCCCCTGTTTTAACCCTGCAGCTGAAAACTTTATATTGCAAAGTTAACCAGCAGAACTATGGGGGACAGAGACTCTGCACCCAGACCACTTCAATGAGCAGAAGTGGTCTGGGTGCCTATAGTGTACCTATAAGCAATTTCAGATAACCTTTTTTTCTTTACAGCCTCAAATGCTTTTATGTATTTAAAAGGTTTGCATAATTCTTTCCACTTTCAATATTTCTATAAAATGTTTAAAAACTTTTGCCGTCTAGAAGTGTCAATCTCCCTCGCAGGTTATTGGCTTTATCCAATGGAGCATCCTGTGGTATCCTTACAAGATCCCAATGCTGTACTCTGACATGCGCGAGAGTTCAACAGTGACCTCGGTTCCTGGTGCTGAAGAGGACCAGCCAGGGAGAAGATGGAGGCACCCACAAGGGACAGGTTCAAGTAGGTAGAACTCATCTGCCTGCCTGCCCGCCCCCAGCGGCAATGTCACCATCAGGGGTCTTTGCAAACAGTACCGCCTTAAACACAAACAGATTTACAGTTAGTTTGGTACCATCAATGATGTGTACTAGTAGGCAGAATTTTACTTTGAAAGGAGTTGGGGAAGGTACTAACAATGTTAAAGGGTAGTACAGGAAATAACAATGAGATTATGTACACCTTTGCCAGCAACAATTGAATCAGTATGTATATATTTTGTGTTTGGCTTTGGTGATCAGTTTAAACACTTTAACAAAAGACATGTTAGGTGATTCATGATATAAAGAGATTTGCATACCTTCTGACTTACTAAATTTATATTACATTGTTAACTTGGCTGGACAGAGATAAAGGTAATAAGCTTAAATTTGAAAACCCCCCAGCATTTTAAGAAAGTATATTAACAGATGAATAGGTTAGCAGTGTCCTGTGTAACCACATAATATACAATTACAAATCTCAAACAAGGCAATTTCCAAACAAACCATACAATATAAAAGGGTTTTGCAGTTACATTACGTTATATCACTGGCCCTTAACCCCAGATTCTGGACCAGAAAGCCAGTCTCAAACTAGTTAGAGCATACACATATTAGGTGCCCGGGCGCAGGCAACTCAACAGATGGTTTCCTGTAGTGGTGTTACTTTCTACAATCATTGCAATGGAGGCTCCTTTTACGGTGGCAAATGATTATATATGTTTAGTGCATATATGAAGTAAGGGTCACTGTGTCAGAGTTATTAAAAAGAACAAGCAATAGAGATAATGCCTTGTACATGCACTCTAAATAAATAAACCGATTAATTTTTTATTCTACTTCACTATTAACTTTTCTGTGTAATTTATTTGCCTTTGATTGATAAAAAGTACAGTCAACACGGGCCTCAATTTATTAATAAGCTTTGCAAAAGAAAGATTCAATGCGGTTAGAAAAGCTTTCCAACATTTTTCCACAGAAGTCACCATTAAAGTCTATGGGAATTTTTGTAGCTAAATCATTTGAAAAGTCTTCCTAACGGTTTTGAATCATTTGGAAAACATTAAATCCAGGCCTTAGTTGGAAAAGACCAAATATTACTTACTGCATAAAGCCACTGGTACCAGTTATCCGCATAAAAGGCCACAAATGGTATGTATCGGCCCTTAAAAATGATCGGTCGATCCCTAAACCCACCTCACCCCCCACAAAAAAAAAAAACCCCCAACAAACAAATCTGGAGATGATAACATGTATGTTTTAACAAATACTAAAACAAACAAAACCACAATTTGTTTTTGAGAATTTTATATTCAAACCTTGCTGTAGAGGCAAAGACTACAAAGTTTTGCCCCATGACATGCTCAGGGGAAACTGTAACCCCTACGGTCTTTACATAAAAAACAGTAAAACAGAAATCCGTAATGATAATACCAAAAGGGAGCAGCAAACAACCGACACCCTTGAGTCCACTTTTAAAACTTCTCGGAAATAATATTTGCAGGGAGACATTCAGGATACCAGGGAAATCCTGAGTGAGACCAACACTGTGCGGTTATGGATGGGGAACATTACAGTCTGAGTTGGGTGTCATAATTCAGAGTGAGAGAAGTCAGTCCTAGGAGGCTCACTTGGCTTCATGAAGATGCCTTCCATGACTTTCCAGTAGTTGTGCTGGTTGGAGTAGGTCATGCCATGCACCTCCCTCTGACCGTTAATGGGGCGGCCATACTGTTCCCCTGTGACAGATAGCAGTACACTGGTGGATGTGTGTTTGAACCGCACCTCCTCGTCTCGCTGCCAGTATTCACCACTGCACAAAACTGTCCAGTCATCCAGGATATCTCCTTCCCCATCATCTCCAAATGCACTGACTTCCTGCATATGGGAAAATACATACTTAAAATTTTATAAAAACCGATTACTACTGTAGCCATGTGACATGACCATTCTCTTCTTTGGTGACAACCAATACATTAATTAGCAGTTTCACAGGAAAAACTATATAGTACTATTGCATTACATATACAATAATTTACTGTTCATTTGTGATGTAAGAGAAAGAAGTTTATCAGAGGAGTCTCATTGTGACCTGTAGCAAAGTATCACAAATATGAGAGCTTTAAAGCAGAGACTATGCACCTGGTTCCATGCTAAATAAAAATTTAAAAATAAAAAATTATAATTAGCTGAATGTTACATGCTTCCATTATTTTGTGCCTGGAGGGTCTGCTTCAAGTTGCACTGACCCTTTGGAGTTTTTCTGTATACAGAGAATCATTAGGAAAAACTCCCATATGCTGTTGGAAGTTCATTGCTATTCCAACACAATCAAGAGATATCCTGTGTTAAAGTAGGGACTACTTTCAACTTCTGAGTTTTTTAGAAAAAAAATCTGGCCCTGCCCCAAATCCCCAAAGCCTCAGAATTTATGATTTTTAGCTAGTCCAATACTTTCCCATAGGTAAAGCATTGGATTGGCTGAAATCATCAAGGAAATGGTATGGTTTGGTCAATCAGCACCTCCTCATCGAGATGCATTGAATCAATTTGTGTGTATATTCTTGCAGCTCTCATCAATCAGGAAATCACAGCTCTACTTGGCACACTAATACAGATTGCATAATTGTGTGCCATCATTTAACCTGACTTTAGTTTTTTTTTTAATATAGTTTAAAGGGACACTATAGTCACCAGAACAACTACAGCTTATTGAATTTCTTCTGGTGAGTAGAATCATTACCTTCAGGCTTTTTGCTGTAAACACTGTCTTTTCAGAGAAAATTCAGTGTTTACATTACAGCCTAGTGATAACTTCACTGGCCACTCCTTATATGGCTGTTAGAGAGCCTAAAATGCATCCAAACATTCAGTGTCTCCTCCCTCTGCATGCAGACACTGAACTTTCCTCATAGAGATTCATGGATTCAATTCATCTCTATGAGGAGATGCTGATTGGCCAGGGCTGTGTTTGAATTCTGCTGGCTCTGCCCCTCATCTGCCTCTTTGTCAGTCTCAGCCAATCCTATAGGTAAGCATTGTGATTGGATCAGGCTACCACTTCTGCTGATGTCAGCAGGCAGGTCTAAAGAAAACAGGGACATGTAAGCAGCTGCAGACTTGAATACAAGTAAGATTTAGGGAGGCATAAGGGATCCAGGGGGGCTAGATGGTGGTTTTAGCCCTATAGGGTCAGGAATACATGTTTATGTTTCTGACCCTATAGTGCTCCATTAACATTTTACTCAAACTTGGAAAAAGAAAACAAAACACAACACCCTTATCACAATAACTTGACATAGCAGAATGCAAAACCGCAGACTGGTATAAGAAATCACCAAAGACATATAAAGCCACTGCCCCTTTACAGACTTTAAATGGCGGTGTGTGTTCTCTCTATTACTTACCCATTGTTCTATTTATCATTAACATTAGCTCACCTGGTTCCCTGATAAAGGGGATGTGAAATGGTGGCTGTGAAGATTACGCCCAGTATTGATATGTGTCAGGCGGATTGACTGCCCACATTTTATCAATGTTCCTCTCATACACACAGTAGAGGTTTTTCCTCGAATCCGCCAGTAACTGTTACCATCATCTACTGAGGTTACCCCGGTCACGGACTGCTGTCCACTGCCTGTAAAATTCAGAAAGCAAAAGTTTATTTATTTTCTTTCATTCAGCTTTAATTCAGTGTCAACAAAATCTGGACAAAAAGCACAAATATCGATAGATTATAAACACTCCAATTCTGTCTCGGGTTTAACCTTGTAGGCTAGTGATTAGTACCATAACAGCAATTATGTGTCAACCAAGTAGAGGTATGGAAAGATGATGAGAGGAAATATAAATCAGAAATGAAAGATGGAAGGTAGAGTACAGGTTCTATGAATATGTGGAGAGTGAGGGCCCATGAATAAAAATAAAATAAAATTAAAAAATAAAAATAAATAAAAAATGTAGGGAGAGAGTAAGTGGACTTGGCAGTGTAAGTACAGTCTGTATGCCTTAGGTCCAATCCCTAGGCAACTCCTCCAAGCCTGTTGGGGTAGCCACTGGATCCAATGGTACCACGTATCTACATATCAATGGTACCGGTTGGAAACCTGGAGAATTATCTCCTCAAAGGAACACATCTCCTACACTCTGTGTATTCTGTCCTGAGACAGCGGTACTGCTCTCTGCCTTCAGTACCTGGGGATAGGTCTGCAGGCTGCATCTATAAGGTGTGAGAGGGCAGATTTGCAGAATGCCTGGATTGGGAGATTTGTGATCTGTGAAAAATAAGTTTCCATGTTGAAGGGGAGGGGGCAGTCCACTAGATTGGAAATTGCCTCATGTTTATCCAGAATGGACAGATTACTGTAAAAGTCCACCGTATGTGAACCAAGGATCCTAATTCAATATTGCATCTCCAGCATTCCATGTCTATTGTTGAAAACATTTGGGTCAAGGTCTCTGGGGTGCAATATCAATGTGTGAATTATTTGTATCCTGCCTCCTGATAACGAGTCCTAATGGTGGAATATTTGTTCGTAAGTATGAAGATTTCTCCCATTGATCTAAATCTCGTTCCCAGAATTTTGTGAAAAAAAGGGAGAGGAGAATCCTCCGGTGGAGTAATGATTAATGTATACATGTAGTAAATGCAATGTGTATATCTCCACCACGGGGCTTGTGTGAGGCTTTTGTGTCTCAAAGGAGAGAATGGACAAAGTGAGCCAGTAGCTATACTGGAAGCATTTGAATAGCTTTGCTGAGTGAGCTCCCAGGAGAGATTCCACAGAAACCATGTTTCCATTGTAGTGAAGGTTATGCAATATCAGTGGTGAGGTTACATTGCCGAGTATGGAGGAATGCAGGAGTATAGGCTTGATGGAATGAAAGATTGTCTATTATCATAGTCATTGGAGAGGTAGTAGCGGTGTGAGTGTGTCTAGAGGGCTGATGGTGCCATATGTGGTGTGTTAGGTATGGTCAGGTGATCACCTGGTAGACGAATGTTGGATGAGGAAGGTAGCCATGGCAGTGCAAACAGTGGGAGTGGGGCAAGAGCGTTTTTGATTTCCAGACAGGATTTGGTGTGGTCTAGTGTGGATCACACCACTTTCCTCTGAAAGTGTATAGATTTATGATAAAGTGCAAGGATGGGCAACCCATTTCTCCGTGTTGCTTGGTTTGGATTAATAGGTCATATCAAAGTCTAGCCCTATTTATTTTGCCAGTGTTGCTTTGTTTTGATAAGTATGTCATATCAAATTCTAGCCCCCTTTTTTACAATAGGTATGTAAGGAACAAGGATTTTACCTGGGTGAAAAAGGACAGAGGTATACGGATTGGGATAGTTTGTAAGAGGTACAGAAATCTGTGCATTCGTTTTAGTAGCCCCACTTTACCCAGCCACTTCATGCGTGGCAATGACCAACTTTGCAGGTCTTGTTTTACCAGCTGTAGGAGGAAGTTCAGTCCATGGGATTAGCATACCCAAATATTTAATTGATTCTGTACACCACCAGGATAAAAAGGTGCTTTGAAAACTGCGTTGTAGAGCTGAAGTGATACCTCTTCCTAGGGCTTCAGATTTATTAGAGTTGATGAAAAGATTTGACAGCTGTTGGTAAGTAAAAACTCACGTCATCAGGTGAGGCAATGAGATGGACGTGTAAGTGTAAGCAGCATATTGCTCGCAAATGCTGCTATTTTAGGCTGGTGTCCCTATACCTCAAAACCCTTGATATGTGGATGTGATATGACCGCATTTAGGAAGGGCCCCAGGCTCAGTATGAATAAAATGTTTGAGAGGGGACAGTCCTTACTCATCACATTCCTAATATTAAAAGAGGTGTTTAAGAAGTTGTTTGCTAGGACTCTGGCTGAAGGGGCGGATAGAGTGCGGATATCCACTTAAGCATGTGTGACCCAGACCCATGGTGCAAATGGTGGAGTAGGGTTGCAGGACAGCTGCTTTCATTAGGGAGTTTAATGTTAGGAGGAGATGGGAGGCCAATATGTCAAAGAAAGTTTTATAGAACTTTAATGTAAGTCCATCAGTTCCTGGACTTTTGTCTGATTTGGAAGATTGTATTGTAATAGGTACCTCCAGACTTTGGAGTGTAATCCCTACCTGAAGGGTTCATTAGACTCTAGCAGTCCATTAGTTTGTGCCCCACTCACCACCCTTGCATGAGCGGTCCTTCTTGAAATTTTTCTAATTTGTATAGTACCATATTCAGGAAGGATTTCTCGCTTCGGTTTGGAAAATACATGTTAGCAAAAGTAAAGATTTTTTTTAATTGATTTTCCCTTTCATGAACAGGTAGCAGCCCTCATGATTGGTAGACTCTGAGGAGAGGACAAAGGTAGTGGTAGCAGATATAAGAAGAAACAAAATATCACAAAAAGGGACTATTCGTGTGTGCAATGGAACTTAGAAGGGGGTAACCCTTAAAATTAAATAAACCGAGAAATACATAAATGTCCAATGGATATAAACTCCAACGGACACAAAAGGATCCCTTGAGGAATATAAAACTAATACTTTTACACAATATTGACAATTAAATTGATCTATTAAATATTTTGAGACGAAAAAACCCCATATATAAACCCATAAAAAAGAGCCCCTATTGAGGACTCTGTATAGTATTAGTAGGGGGAGACTCTATAGTAGACTAGATGGGATATGAGCTGAGGATAATAGGAGTGAGAGTGGGAGAACCTAATAAGATTTTGTACATTAACTGGAGTAAACATATTAAGATTACAATGAAAGGGGATCACAAACCCTATAAGTCAGCACCACTATTATAGGTAAACCATAGGAATAAGATACAAAAAAACAACAACAATGTTGCCACTATAGCAGTGTATCTAAACAAAATACTAGTGGTTTTCCTGACACTATAATGCCCTGAGTGTGCAGTTTCCTCGTGCAGTTTACCGCAAGGAACCAAAAAAAGGGGAGGAATATATTATTCTAAACATCCGGATATGACGTTTAGACATCTATCCCCGTTTATGGTAGTTAGTGATAAACAAGCCACTTTCACAATGACCAGAATTATAGGGGAATGACAATCCCATACACTTGCATTTATATAACATATCCTTACTGTTCTATTCTGTTATATACATACATGGTTAAAGTTGAAGACCATTTATTAAAATACTTTAAACAGTAAAATTAAAGAACCACTATAGGCACCCAGACCACTTCAGCTTAATAAAGTGGTCTGGGTGCCAGGTCCATCTAGGATCAACCCTTTCTGCTGTAAACATAGCAGTTTCACAGAAACTGCTATGTTTACCTATGGGTTAATCCAGCCTCTAGTGGCTGTCTCACTGACAGCCGCTAGAGGCGCTTCTGACTGTGATTTTCACAGTGAGAAGACGCCAGCGTCCATCGGAAAGCATTTAGACTCAACGGGACCCAGGTAAGAAGTCCGGCACGGCCCTGTGTGTATTAATTGTACCTCTCAAGGTGAAATAAAAAACACTATATGCAATAAATGAGAAAAATAAATAAAATAAAAAACATATTTATAAATGAATATAATCTATCCCATCAATCATATTTACAATAACCTTTTCAGGTGCCAATATAAAGGGTGAATGTAAAGCCCTCGTTGAGGCCCTTGGGTGCCAGAGTACCTAATTTGTAAATCCAAAAGCACACTCTTTTTTTTGAGAGCTAAACCAAGATCACCCCCCCCCACCCAGATTAAAATGTTCTATGCCGGAAAACGTCATGCCCTTGGGAGAGTCTCTATGGTGTGCCCTCACGTGTCTTGCCACTGGAGTATCTTTAACTCCTTAAGGACACATGACATGTCTGACATGTCATGATTCCCTTTTATTCCAGAAGTTTGGTCCTTAAAGGGTTAAAGAAGGTCATTGGGTGGACATGTTCCATTATTCTCCCTTTAAATGGGTGTATCGTCTTCCCCACATATTTAAGGCCATACTCACAAGTTAGAAGATCTATAACTCTTGAGGTGTTGCAGTTAAAAATAGTTTAACAGGAATTTTGAGTGTGTCCATTGAATCCGTGATAATCTTTGATCCCTTTGAAATATACCGACATGCTACACAGCAGCCGCACTGGTAAATGCCAACCACAGAGATCCTCAGCTCATATCCCATCTAGTCTACTATAGAGTAGACTAGATGGGATACTGCTACTATACAGAGTCTTCAATAGGGGCTCTTTTTAATGGGTTTATATATGTTGTTTTCATCTCAAAATATTTAATAAATCAATCTAATTGTAGATATTGTCAAAAAGTATATTAGTTTTACATTCCTCATCCTTTTGTATCCGTCGGAGTTTATATCCATTGGACATTTATGTATTTCTCGGTAGCGGATTTAAGACTCGCTACTCCTCTAGTATGAGTGTGGTTGTTATGGGAGAAAAAGCCCATCGGGTAGTAACTGTCAGGTGCCTTGCTGACTTGGAAATGGGTCTCCTGGAAAAAGGCAATTGAGACGCTCTCCGAGGACCCTAGCTTGTTTATTGGGAGTGATAAGGTGCATTTAATGTGAAATAGGTCAGGTCGACTGGCCTGGAGTCCATGACTTGGGAGAAGGAAGGTGCAGGAAGGCATAAAAGGAAGAGAAGTTTAAGGAAAGAGGAAGGAATAGAAGAAAAGAAAAAAAAAAAAAATAAATAAATAAATAAAAAGCCCCACGCCTGGTTGTTTCTCAATCAACATGACACCAGGGGTGAAGGTTAGAGCCCTCGTATGTGGACTAATGCTAGTGTGCTAGTTAGGACAGCGACCCCCATATCAGATCAGGGAAACAGTGAATTTACTTACCTTTTTTTGCATGCCACACCTGCCCCGCCTATGTGACTGAGAGAATCAATCTTGATCGTCTAATGCCAATCAGCATCTCCTCGTAGAGATGCACTCAGCCAATGCATCTCTATGGGGAATGATCAGCATTGTGCAGCACTGGACTAGGAAGCACATCTAATGGCTGCCTGAATGACTGCCACTAGAGGTGTTCCTAGGCAGTAATGTAAACACTGCCTTTTCTATGAAAAGGAAGCGTTTATATTAAAAAGCCTGCAGGCACAGGAAAGAGGAATCCAGCACCGAGAAGGTAACCCTGCTATTGCATATATTAAACTGCTATTACTTTTCTGCATTTTTACTATACACATTAGAACCATTACACTAAAAGAGACACTCTAAGCACCCAGACCACTTGCAGCTCATTGAAGTGGTCTGGGTGCTGTGTCCCAGTTGTGGGTAATGCAGGGTTTTGTTTTTTTAAATAAACTGCCTACCAGACAGCCACTACAGGGACCTCCAGAGCATTAGGCGACTTTTGGTCGACTAACTGACGCTGGAAGTCCTCACACTATGCATGAGGACATCTAGCATCATCTAAAACCCCATAGGAAAGCAAGTGAGCAATACTTTCCTCAGGGGTAGCCTTAATGCAAGCACGGCCATTGTTGCGCATATGCATTCGGTCTCCCCCGCCGTCTGACATCAGCAGCGGAGGAGAGAAGGCGGACCTGAGCCAGTGCCAATGTTATAAAAAGGAACAACAAAAGAAAAATGCAGAAGCCAATGGGGATTTTGGATAAGTGACAGATCTATTTTAACACATACATTAGCATCCAGTTTTTCCTGCTCGATAAGACTAGTCAGTGCACCTGAAAGGACCCTTTAAGCTGAGCTGCAATATTAATGGTGCTTGAAACATTCTTTTAAAGTGTTAACCCTTCCAACCTTTTTGTACAAATCTTTATTTTTTTTCCCCCTTACCTTTTTCGTTATAGTGCCCTAGTGCCTGTGTCAATCTATTTCTCTTAGAGAAACATTCGATTGGACCATTTGACCAGCTCAGAGGGCATGTAACGGCACAAAGTAAACAGATGGAGGAAGGGGAAAATCGTTAGAAAAACACCACCACAAAAAACGCTAAGGCTATAAGGAGGAATTAAATTAAAGCAGGGAGGGAATGGGACATACAATGCCTCCCATTTACAAAGGAGAAATTATTAACATATGTTGCCAGGGCTATTTTTGCACAGAATTGACAGCCCAGAATAGAGTTGCATTGCTTCCTAAGCTGCGTGTGCCGGAGGTGCAACTAGCCCCCGAAGAAAAATGCAAATATCTCAGCATGTGCAGTGTTTCAAGCAGAAACACATACAGACTCCTACCACCATGACCACTTATATAATAAGTGGCCATGGTGGTTGGAGTAACCATTTAAGGGATAATAATGGTGTTATCCCTTCATAAAAATCTAGCTTTTAACAGATTTTGTAAAACATTTAATTTCAAATACAGTACATTTATCAAGATTTGTGGAAATGTTGACAATACTAAATAATTAGGACAGCCAATGCTGATAGGGATTGTGATGACAACATTGGTTATTAAAGGACCACTATAGGCACCCAGACCACTTCAGCTTAATGAAGTGGTCTGGGTCCCTGGTCCATCTAGGGTTAACCCTGCCCGCTGTAAACATAGCAATTTCAGAGAAACTGTTATGTTTACAAATGGGTTAATCCAGCCTCTAGTGGCTCTCTCATTGACAGCTGCTAGAGGTGCTTCCGCGCTTCTCACTGTGATTTTATCACAGTGAGAAGATGCCAGCGTTCATAGGAAAGCATTGAGAATTCTTTCCTATGGACTGACTGAGTGCGCGCAAAGGCTCTTGCTGCGCATTTAGCCGGTGACGTCAGAAGAGGGAGGAGAGTCCCCAGCGCCGAGGGAGCCCGGCGCTGGAGAAGGGTAAGCCTTTAACCCCTTCCTCCCCCTAGAGCCCGGCGGGAGTTGGACCCTGAGGGTGGGAGGACACATAAAGACCCTATAGAGCAAGGAAAACTAGTTTCTTTTCCTGGCACTATAGTGGTCCTTTAAAGAGCCAATATCATTCGTCTTAAAAACAGATTGATGGACAAATCTGCACAACTACTGTAAGGATGTTAAACCTCTCATTACACCTACGGCCTCCCTATTTGTATTTGCACCAAACCGGTTGTGGTTAGATGTGCCGCACCAAATTTGTTTAAAAAAATTAAAAAAGAACAAAACAAAAAAGGAGAAAGTAGCAAATAGAAAGAGGAAGCATAAACACTTTAGCTTTTAAACTGTTCTGAAACCTGGGAGGTGAAGCGAAACGAAGTGAAATCAACGCCGGAGTCCCAAAATAGGATGCAAGATACATCAAAACTACAAGAATACATTACAGTATTAAAAATACACACAGTGTATACCATTGCTTGACTGACAGGAGAGAAGCATGAGGATCAAAGTGAAAAATGCCAACATGCTGACAATAAAGATAGTGTTTCATTGTTGTGGGGGCCTGTGCCCTACTTAAATATGCATTCCCAAACCGGGTCAGTTGGATAAGAGAGAAAAGTGAATAGATTTGTGAAACGCCAACAAAGTGAGACAAAAAGAAGCAAGTACAGAATGAATATATCTTAAAGCTGTTAAATATATTATTTACCCTGATCGGCCACAACATTAAAACCACTGACAGGTGAAGTGAATAACTGATTATTATTGCCATTCATATAGCGCCAACAGATTCCGTAGCGCTTTACAATATTGATCATATCATTACAATGGCACCTGTCAAGGGGAAGGATATATTAGGCAGCCAGTGAACAGTCAGATCTTACATTTTAAACACCACTGAGGAATGGATGAAGATTGCTTAGTATGATGAATCACATTTTCTTTTAGATCAGGTGGATGGCAAGGAGCATGTGCTGCTAATGTCTTGGCCACGTTCAGAGGCCTTGAGGGGTGCATGCCTCGATGCATCAACGCTGTTTTAGCAGCACAAGGGGGACCTAAAAGAGCACTCTAAGAAAGATAATCCTACCATCTGCTGTACTTCTTTATGGGGTCTGGAGTCCCATAAGATGTCCAATTGCTAAAGGGACACTGGAGACACCCATACCACTTCAGCTCATTGCAGTGGTTTGGGTACAGTGACCCTCTCAGTTTAACCCTGCAATTGTAATTTTTGCAGTTATTGATTAACTGCAATAATTACCTTGTAAGGTTAAAGGACCACTCTAGGCACCCAGACCACTTCAGCTTAATGAAGTGGTCTGGGTGCCTGGTCCAGCGAGGGTTAACCCATTTTTTCATAAACATAGCAGTTTCAGAGAAACTGCTATGTTTATGAATGGGTTAAGCCTTCCCCTATTTCCTCTAGTGGCTGTCTCATTGACAGCCACTGAGGGCGCTATGCTTTCTCACTGTGATTTTCACAGTGAGAACGCGCCAGCGGAAAGCATTGTGAAGCCCTATGAGACGCTGAGCGCCGCTGCAGCCTGCTTGCTGCGCACATTCAGCCGACGGGGAGGAGAAGAGGAGGAGGAGGAGGAGAGCTCTCCGCCCAGCGCTGGAAAAAGGTAAGTTTTAACCCCTTTCCCCTTCCAGAGCCGGGCGGGAGGGGGACCCTGAGGGTGGGGGCACCCTCAGGGCACTATAGTGCCAGGAAAACGAGTATGTTTTCCTGGCACTATAGTGGTCCTTTAACTCCACCTCTAGTGGCAGTCTACCAGACAGCCACTAGAGGTACTTCCGGGTGGCTATGAAATTTTTGGTCACCTAAATGACGCTGGAGATCATCATGCTGTGTATGAGGTCATTCAAAGCATTAAGCAACGCTTCCCTATGAGGTAGTCCTAATGCGAGAGCATGCGCACTAGACCCCCCCCCTCCCGCCAGCTGATGTAGGTGGAGGAAGCGCCAAGGTGAACCTCCTAAGCTTGGGCAATGCACGAAACCATCTAACGACATAACAACTTAATCGTGATGAAGTAGTTTTGGTGCCTGATGTGTCCCTTTAATTGACCCATCTCAACCACTATACAGAGAGCAGGTGTACCTGGAAAGGATTTAAAGTGGAAATTATTAGAGATTGACTGACTGTGCATAAAGCTATGCTGAAAGAAAAAAATAAATCTAAACATTTCTAATATGAGACTATATATATACCAGGTTCTTCTTACCTGCCATTGAATGGGATTCATGTAACATTTGAGAGAACAGATTGCCATTTCTATTCACACCCCACTATTATCACAAACACATGTCACAGGCAGAGAGAACCAGTCACTGTCAATGTGGCCAATGGTTCTGCGTGACGTCAGCGCCTGCCACGAATAACACTGTACCTGAGCCGTATCTGACGTCATGGGAGTGGAGGCGGACGTTGTGCTTGGTGTTGAGCAGTTTGATGACCGAGCCGCAGGTCACGGTGCTCAGCTCCGAGGCAAAACCCAGGGGCAGCAGCAACGGAGTGACAAAGAGCAGGAGAGAGCCAGCTCCTTCCTGGGGCTTCATCGTCCTCTCTCACCGGCCGGTGTTCCGTCAGATAAGTATACCTTGTCAGATTGGTATACCGGAAGTGACGCGGCCGCACCGGAAGTGACGCGGCCGCACCGGTAATTTCATTGAACAGCTGGAGGAGGAGGAGCGCAGCGCCGCGCATGCGCAGAAGATCAGGTAGGTAAAATTTACAGGCAGTGAGAGGAGAGGAGGCCGCCTAATGCGCATGCGCGAACACAACACTGCGCCTGCGCCTGGAGACAAGAGGCGGGGGAGGTAGGGGCCAGTGCGCACGCGCGTCTAAGTACTCCCGTCGGGCACAGACAGCGGGATACACCGCGCGTGCGCACCAGCGGGCAGGGAGATCGATTCAGCCGAACATTCATCCGATCTCCCTGCCCCACACTGCGCACGCGCCTACCCAGCCAGGAAGCCACGGACACCGCGCATGCGCACTGAGGGGGTATAGAAATCTGATGGCCATATCTTCTGCTAAGAAATCTCCTACCCCTGAGTGCGCATGCGCGGTGTCTGATCCACTGCATCCAGACATCCATCAGGTAAGCCTTGCTCCCAACACTCTCAGCCATCAGGGGGGTCTGTGCCTTATTGGGGGGGTCTGTGCCTTATTGAGGGGGTCAGTGCCTTATTGTGGGGGTCTGTCCAGTATTGGGGG